GGTGGCCCCCCACAACCCCACACTCACACCCACCAGTGGAGCCCACACATCAGCTTCACCACTGGGCAAAAGCAAACCAAAAGCACGGGGTGCCCTGTGCTCCCTGACCACGTGGCGGAAGTCTGCAGAGATGCTAAACCACAGCAAGAATTTGCAAAGACCTCTATGGTGTGATAAACACACATTTGCTATCATTCCACCACTCCCCCTCAAACACCAATTAATTGTAAGGAACAGCCTTTAGCATAAATGCTGATTTGCTCCCTAGCATAACACCTTTCTACCCCTCTGACTCCTTGCTTAAGCTTTCATTCTAAAATTTTCTCCAAAATTCATTTTCAGCACTGACTTTTAAACAGAACCTTTAAAGAAGGCCATATCCGCAAACAGAGGCAGTCCTGTAAACTACAGGCTGGTTTTCAACCTTAAAATCCACCTGAGCGAGAACATCGAGAGGCAATAGTCCAAGGGGAAAGGTTTTTCCTTGTCTGCTGTCCTACACTACCACTGTAAGATCTCAGTTGGCCATACTGAAGAAATCAAACCATAATGGCTCAACACTGCACACCGCTGTATTTGTACACCGCTGTTGCTGCATTGTAAATAGCAATCCAGCAGATGGCACAGCGAAATGAGTCCGGGAGACCGGAGGGGGCCCTCCCTGAAAGGGGAGAAACGTGGAGGATGGCTTTGCTCCAGCCACAGCGTTGTTCCAGCACAAAAGCTCAACTCAGGCTTGCGAGAGAGGACACCTTCCTTCCCTCTTCTGCAGTCAGCCAGCCCTCTGTGCTGGCTGCTCAGAGCAATCTCGTTTGGTTCGAGATCTGCAATAGGTAAATTCTACTGGGAACAAAAAGAAATAATCAGACAATAATCTGGCCTAGACAACAGCCAAAATGATACTTATTTTTTTTAAGCTGCTGTATTTCACTGGGAGAATTTGAGACAAAAAAATGTATAGGCAAGGCAACTGGGGTTTGCCAAGTGAGGGCAGCTGGAGGACACTATGGTCTCCACTAACACTGATAAAAATAGTACAAAAAAAATCTCTGTATCTGTCTTCCTTGTGAGTTCTTTACCTTCTTCTACTGTTCTCAGTCTCTACTGAAGACATGTAGGGTCCAGGAGGCACAAGTATCTACAGGTATTTGGTATATCACTTTCATCTCGGTATTCATTTCCATAAACAACTCACAGGAATGAGACTAGATCTTCATTTTCAGCTCTCAGAAATCTGGAATGGTTTCAAGAATTCCTTCAGCTCCCCAGGCTGCTATGACCAATTTTCTGTCTTTAAAAGCATTTAAGAAAAATTAGTGATGGATTTTTAGTGTGTTAAACTGGGATTACATACAAAGGTGGCTGCATGGCCATAAGGATGGGTGGTAGAAGGAAACTGTATGAGGATAAACTATCAATTATACCTGTATGTGATTGGTATTTGTATTTCTATAAGCATTCTTCTCTGAATGCAAAAAAATGGGGGTGGAGAAGGAAGTCGGGGAAGGGGAAGAATTAATTTTGCAACAGTTTGCTTGCCATTTTAAAGCCACATCAATTAGACTGACTTTGTATACATGTATACTACATATTATTTTCTGTATCTGATTTACTTGGAAATACTATAGCAAATGGTAAGGAACAAATTAACGCATCTGTTTCCAGACCTCTCTCCCTTATGCCCACAGATGTTCAAAGGCTGCACTTCTAATTGTTGTCAGGAACACATAATTTGGGAAAATTTCTTAGCAGGAAGGAGATTGATAAAGGCAATCAGAATATGGATTGCAGTTATGTGCAACCTCCGCAGTCGTTAAGAACACCTACGTGCTTAATTTTATTTAACAACAGAAGGCTGCATAAGCTAAATATTTACAGAAAAGTCTTGGCTGGATCAGGGCTTTAACCAAACACAGGACAGACAATGACAGAAAGAAAAGAGATGTATCATCTCGAGCAAGAAGCCCATGCTCACGCTGGGAGCCTACAGCCCAGCTCAGCTCTCTTTTCTCTCATTCCAATGCCTGGAGCCTGAGACCATCCATTCTCCTAACTTCCTCTTGTGTACACCACATTAAAGGTGGGAGAAATAATTCATTTTTTAATATTCTGCTCATAAAAAGTGAGAAGACAACTAAAAATATCCTGAACAACAGAACAGTTACTGTCTCCAGGCATGTTTCCTGGTGATCAAAGGCACTTTTCAACAAACATGCTCATTAAATTATGAACCTATTGTAACTATGTAAATAAGCTATAAATTAAAGAAACTCAAGTTATAGAAGGGCAATCTATAGAGTAAATCATCAGCTCTGCAGCAATACATCCAGCACCATCTGTGTTCCAGCACATTCGCTGTAACAGCTTCTGGAGTGCAAAAACTAATGCGGGTATTTATCCTCTGTCAGTATATTGGTTGCATCAAAACCAAGTCTGGGCCGCTCTGGAATCTTAAGATGCTGGACTAAAGCACAGAAGACTATTGAGATATGATCTTGTATCATGTTTAACAAAGGACAATCCACCTACCAGAGAAAGGCAGAACAGAACTGAAGCAAAGTAGATGATGAGGGTAAAAGCTGATACTTAATAATACCTGAAAGGTTTGCAGACTTGATGATGCGTCTCCCAATCACCAATGAAAATCAATGAAGAACATAGTAAAAACAAACCCCAAACAACCCGAAACAGAAAAGCAGTCATACCCACAGAAATCCTCTATCCCATCTCCTACAGTTAAGCAGAAAAACTAACCAGGCAGGCTCTGTAGCACAGGATAGTTTGACCCCAACCTGATGGGACCATTTTGCGAACGCCTCAGGCTCCGCAGCGCTGCTGGTGGGATACACAGAGGGATGCTGCAGTAGCTGCAGCCCAGGGCTCTGCCCCTTCCCTCAGCTGCTGGCAGGAGCAGTGGGGGGACACTGTTCTCCCCTATAGCTTTTCAATGTGGTGTCCTATCCAGCCTTGCACAGAAGCCTTTGGGCTGGTGTGGCAGCCCTGGCCAGCTGGTCCCCACTTCAGGCTGAATTTGAGTGCCATGTGGGTTAGGGGAGCCAGCTGCTGGTGGGACCATGATGGCCACCTTGGAAGGGAGGAAGGTAGGACCTGCAGGAGGAATACCTGCTCCCAATTTTCCATTTGGAATGAACTGCTGTATCTAAAATAACAAACTTGTGCTCATAAAGAAGCTACAAATAAATCACCCCCAATCACAGCACAATGCCACTGGCAGGCCCACGTCTCTATTTTGATCATCGCATACATCCTTTTGTGGTCTGCAGGCTGCTATTCCTAGGAGTGATGCAGGCAGTTATTGCGGCATTTACCTGATCAGCAGATCAAAATAGCAGCTGTAGGTAATGTGTGCAACAGTCCTGTGTACAGCATCTGACTACAGCCACACACTTTGGAGTCTGCGGTTTTTTTGTATTACTTGCATCAATACCTACTGATGGCAGCAATACTCACAGAGGGCATATGGTTACTCTAAAGACAAGGGAATTTAAATAACTGGATCTTCTCTGGAATCAAAGCTGCAAAAATAATGCCCTCTGCAACTTCAAGGGAACATGAAAAGGGCTGCTTGGGTAAGTGGTTTCACATGGTATTTTTCCTTGTTCGAGTGAGGGCTGTGTGATAACATGAAACAGGCAGATGAGGAACAGGCTGAGATAGGATCAAGGGCATGTTCTGATTATAGCAACATGGGTTAGTATGGCCCTCGGAAAGAGCATTTTGAAGCAAGTGATTACTAGAAGTAAATTAAGAAAGTGAGCAAAAAAACCCAAACCCCCAGTTGGGTATTATTTGCTCCTGCTCTGCTTAAAGAGACTCAAGCTAGGTCTGAATAAGGTGGCCTGCTTATATGATAAATGGCTGTACCCTACAGACACATTAATACACGTCCCAGAAGCTGTTAGCACCTAACTTCACTTGTACTAACCCTTCTTGCCTCTCTGCTGGACTAACTGCAATGCTGACTAAATTCAGGAGCTGGCTTGCTGGAAGTTAGTTTTTCTGGTTAGGTTCCATGTCATGTTGTTCTTGGCTCTACCATCCATTTCTCCTATTAACTGAAGCCACTTAGAGGATGATGAATTCTGGCTGATTACTCAGGTCAAAGAAGCAGTACACCTTTTCAATACAATTTCTGCTAGCATATGCCTTTGTTTCTCAGTTTCACAAACGTAATGAGAAAACAAGATCTAAGATGAGCAGGAGTAACTTACCTGTTCATTTTTTGTCAGTCTTGTTTTGTTATGGATGTCAGATGTGACCAGGTTGAACCCATGTTTCTCTGATAAAATTCTCAAAAGCAAAACCACAGTTCGACTCCCACACTTTCCAACTCTGTTGTAGACCACTTGGCTGGGGAAAGGAAGTACCTAAATAGAGATATAAAAAAAAAAAAAAAAATGGAGTCAGTATACTGGTATTTTTGTTTCTGTGTACCTCTGGATCACAGCATGTTTTGACCATAAACCAACAGATACATACAGCAGAATTTCTAGGACCCTGCTCAGGTCAGATTTCACTTCCATGAACACGCTAGAAGCTCTTTAGAATATAAACATATGGCTCAGAAGGTGACAAGCTGAGGTTTCCCCCTCATGATCCAGTAGTGCAGATTGGTAGCTACTCCAGAAACACTAAGCCAACTGCTGATGTCTTCTACTGAAGATGATGATGGGCTTAAACTTGCTACTTGTAACTTCAATGCAAATAGTCAGCTTTAGTTGACCACCTCCCACACAAAGAACCAAGAGGAGTGAGTCTGCAATACAGTTTGGCAACTCAAAGTGAAGTTGACATAACGCAAGAGGAATGCTCCAATTGCACAACTTCAGCTTAAAAATACCCCAAACAACTACCAGTTGTATAGCGCTAAAGTTAATCAACTGTTTCAAATATAAACATTAATCTTCTAAAGAGACTCAGAGAACAAATCACGCCACTGGCTAAGTATGTACTTGTGGAATGAACAACACCAGGGCCACAGGTGGCCTGGTGGCCAGCTGGCACAGTCTGATCACATCTGTACAGGTAACATTCACTACACCTCAGAAGAGAACAGTCACATCCAGCCTGCCCACCAGGAACGGTCTCCAGCCCACGCTAACTCTTGCACCATGCTCTCCTCCCCCAGAAACCAGAACAAGCCAGTAGTAATTCCCTGCCTTGAAGTACGTTGGATGCAGCCTTGTTTTGTTCCTGGATGATCTCCATGGGCTACTCTTTCAGTAAAAGGCACTCCAAAGTCACACTATTGCACTAGATAAGTTCTTGGTATGTAGCATATAGCAGCAGCAGCTGGTGACACAGGCCAAGAGGCATCTGTTTTCAAGCCTTTTAAATTGGCCAACACAGTCAGGAACGCAGTTTCATCCACAGCAGCGCATATATGGCACTCGCTTACGGAAAGCTCATTTTTCTATTATGATAACGGGCACAAAATGTTTCCCGACGTGGGGCCTGCACCCTGGTTCCAGGCGACATGTGTTCAGCACAAGGAATGGCTCATGCGCCAAAGTGATGCTATGTCTCAATTTATAGTTACTTTTGCTGTTGATGGAATCATGTTCTCCCAGCAGAATAATTTCTAACATAAAAGCAGTCAGATGAGGTATATGGGCTTCTGGCACTTCTCACAGTATTTGAACAGCTGATAGATCTTCAACAGGGAAGCAAAATGATTCCTCAGGCAACCCTTCAGATTACTTTCAAAGAGGACTGCTAACTAGAATTAAAAAAAAAGAGGAAAAATCTGTATTTCCTTATATAATGGGAATATATTGGCACTTTGCTATCAGTGTTACACTTCATGACTAAAAGACCATTACTATTGTTACGGATTGCAGTGTTTAGGACATGTTCCACTGCAACATAAACACAAAAGCTGTCATTTTCCAAATTCCCTGTGGAGGGGCTAGGTATTTGGTGATCACAGTCCCAGTTCAGTTTTCCAAGTTCCAGGACATCACGTCTGATGATTCAGCAAGTAAACATGGGCTTTCCAAGGCTCATATAAAACCCACAAAACATACCAAGTCTTAACTATTTTGTAATGTTCATATAAAGGTTTCTATGAGAAACCTAGCCCCCTTATTCCTTATCAATCCTTCCCTTCAGAAGCCTTGCTTCCTATGAAATGCAAAATCCCAGCCTCAAAGATTAGAGAACCCCAAAGGTGATGAATTTAACATCTCTATGTTACAGCTGTAGCTAACCTTTTCCAAAACAACTGCTAACAGTGTCTGAAAGGTTAACATGTGAACACATTTTATTATGTTGATTATAACACTAGGGACACCATCGTGAAAGTTTTTCTTATGCAACAACACACAGGAGCCATACTCTGGATTGTCCCCTTTTTGATTCATTTCTTTTCATGACAAAAACCAGCATCAGTATTTGCCATGGCCCTGCAGCACTATCCACACAACAACACTGTAACTTGTGGAATGGGAGTTTCTGCTTTGCTCATACACTTTTGGCATACTTTGCTGTCCAAGTATGTGAAAGTCTTCAAGAGAAATAAGAAGTAGATGCTGACAAGTGCCAGTGAAGGAGGAAGAGGATATACAGCATGTGTTTACCTGCATCCTGAAAATGTGATAAACGATGAGAGTTTGCAAGGCTATGGAAACATTGTTAAATGCTTCATAATTATTAACTGCTTTGATTTTCACAGCGGAGTTGCACTTCAGAATATAGTGAGGAAAATTTTCTTCATTGGTACCTTACTAATTTCAAGTGGAATTTTGCTGCACCCAGATTACATGCAAGTTCTAATTAAATCCCCGACTTGATTGGCCAGTAACTTCGGGTGAAATTTATCAACACCAGTCTTTGAAAATGAAATAAAATTAAAGCAGGCCTTTGCAAAGTCTCTAAGTGCAAACAACTCTACCAGCTAAAAACATGCCAGTTGCTACCAAGTTTGGCCAGTTCTCACCTTTGTTTCTGAAACTTCCCTTCCTACATAGCACAGTTCTGTTCTGCATACAGACGATAACCATGGCAAGGTGATAACCATTGCAACCCCCAAAATGAAGCCATAAGCAAAGACTCACTGCAGATAGAAAAAAATTGAAAGAAAAGGCTATTATTTTCAGACAACTGTTTAGCTTAAAGGAGGCCGATGTATCGATGCCTTGAGTCAGTAAACATCTGAAGGCCCTTTGGTAAAATCAGAGAAGATTCAAGATAAACGCTACAGCTCAAAGCCATTAAGAAGAACACAGTCATTGCCAGTAATCAAATCTTCACTTGGAGCACTGCTGGAGGTGGATAGCTTTAAGGATGCACTGCTGAAGCTCTGCACATGCTTTGCCTCTTTATATAACCATCCCACTTACACACCTAATGCACCACAGGTTGTGCCCAAGACACAAAGCCACACAGTACACAGGCTTTTGGTACATCGGCAGGTATTTGTTCAATGTGATTAATTCCCTTAGGAATCTGCAAGTCTGCTTTCTGCATTTTAGAAAGTGCTTCAGTAATTTCCTAGAAAAATAAATGTTTCTTCCAGAAACCTGAGTTTGTGTCAGGCAGATCTAGAAATGCAAGAAACTGAAAGAGAGGAACTTTTCCCCCTCACAATACACGTAACAGCAACACCAAAGAGAGCGTAAGAGATGGTGGCAGAGGAGGCACCTGAAAAGCAGGCTCCTATCATATTAGCAGAAACAAGATGGAAAACAGCAGTTAGAGGTTTACAAAATGCTAATTAGATTACATTTTATTTGACAATAAGAATATGTATCATGTAGACTAACTGCTGAGGTGATGCTATGGCAACATGATATACATGTAACAATATCCACATCTTCAAAATAATTACAGTGACTTTATTGAGCACTCTGTCGAAGCCCAGAGGTAATATAAACAATTCAAACATATTTGGAGTTATATGAATTAGTACTTACAGCTATAAAAAAGTATAACCCACAGTATAATTACAACAGCTCTCTCCAAGGGTTTGGAAAGTTATATAACAATTTACTTGTCAGTTCAAACTGAGTTTTTTTTCTTTTGTTCCACATTCAAAGAAGATGTTAAGAACTATTGTGAATGAAATCCAGGAGAAGAAAAAGGAAGTTTATCCCAAAACGAATTTGCATTACAACTGTCAAGCAGCTCTGCGGGGCAGGTCTGCCCCTTTCAGGTGGGGAGCCATTCCTCAGCCTGACAAAAACCTGGGCTTCCATCTTCAGTGGTGGCTTTGTCTCCAGGTAAACCTTTCCACCATTAAAAAAATTAAACTGGATAATTACTTGCAGTGTCAACAATTTAGGAATCCACCCAAAGGCCTAAATCATTCCACTTTTACTGGGACAAATCCAGTATGACTTTCCCAATTTGCAAACAGTTTCACAGCCCAGGTACAATTTGCCTAGACAAATAACTCAGATCAGAGATACATGTTCCCAGCAAGCAATCTACTATCTCCACAACTTCTGCAAGTGACCAGCCCCTGTCCTTATTCATGAGAGGGACTAGAAGTGGGTACCAGACCTGGCTTCTCCTTTCTGAGCAGACACTAACCTGTGGTCAGATACTGCTCCATGTTTTTCATGTGAATGAGGCCAACTAAACACAGACAAAATTGGTAAGGTCATGAGAGCAATGAAACATTTGCTGACATTGCACATCTCTATATAGCATCACATCTTCCCAGTGCAACCTCTCCCTTTTTTTTTCCTGTCCAACTGAGACTGAATTCTAAGAATTTAAAACACTTATGGGGTCAAAGCAATGGCCCATTTGGCTCATCAGTGTTGGAAGATGCTCATTAGGCACCCGCAAACCTGAGTGCTGTCAACAGTCCATTTCTCTCCTAGATCTCTCCTCCTCCTCCAGCACCCCCAAAGATCGTATATGGGATGTTAGAAGGCACTTCCTTGCCTGTAGCCTGAAGAATTTCTTACACAACCTGTTCTACCAAAACATTCCAGAATTTTGTTACCCACCATGCATTTCATTTTTAGCTCATCTTCTACTGTTTCCAGAGACTATCCATTCTCACATTGTGGGTTTCATGAAGACAGATCAGATAATTCAGTCTCCAGCTTTGACATCTTCTTAGATCCATTGGATGCCTCTTCTATAATTAAAAGTTTGGCACATGCCTGCCATGGTGTATTTAAAGACAAACTCTAAGGCCCCTAAGAGATAACATACTCCAAACCTAAATTCAAGAATTGCTGCACAAAATCTCACTTGAAACAAGTATCAACTTATTCACTTTTAAAGCAATTACAACAAAAAAATTGCTAACACAAAGATATGTCAGCAGAAAACAAGACTGAAAGACAAAAAACAGAGAAAACAAAATAAATTACTAGTTCACCTCCTTCTTCTCCAGCTAAACCACACAGAT